TGGAGAACTTAAGATGTACAAACAACTTCAGAAATTCAATGAATTTTGTCTAAGTTGTCCCAAGTACATCTTCATAGTTTATTAGTGGTATAAAATGCTGAAGGATGAAGAAAAGAATTTATGTGATGCGATAAAACTGCAGTACAGCTAAGGGATTTTGGCTAAGTTAACTTATCCAAATGACTGATATCTACTGCTAGGAAGATTGTCTGGGGTAAAATAAAGCCTGGTCACTGGCCTGCAGTTGGAAGCATAAGAGGAAGAAATGCTCAGTCAAAACTTTAAAATGTCAAATGGTTTGTGAAAGCAGGAATCTTCTTACAGAAAAAAAGTTGCAGGAATTATTCAGAATGATCTAATCTTCTTTGAATTAGTTACAAAGGAAACATAATCTCTCATTTGATATCTTCAACTAAAAAAAGAAAGAAAAGATTCTTGGAAAACAGGATGTAAAAAGACACAATTAAGGTTAATGAGGAGAAGAAATTCCCAGTTGTCATCATGGACTATGATTAACACCTGCTATTCAGTATCACTGCCTCAGAGGATTGGGGAGTTCCAATCCTGCTGATTGAATAAACTCATCTGAATGCCTTGAGATTCACCAAAACAAAGGTTTGGCTTCTCAGTACTCCATTGAAAAATAGTAGATTCTATCAATCAGAAGAAATATTAGGGTTTTTTTTCTTTTCTTGATAGAGAAAATTTTCACTCATTGGGAAACTAGTGGCTCAAACGAACCCCAAACTGGGATTATTAATATGCCCTGCATTACTGCAGGACTATAGATTTCCAGTTAGCTGCAGGATGTATGTGACTCTTAGAAGAGCTAGGAAAGACAAGTTTCAAAAGAATGATTTTTCAGTTTTAGCTGTGGCACAGGTACATTGTTTCAATTAATGTTATCATTGTTTGTGTTGTATTCCAATTACATAAGTATATTTTAAATTTCTCTCAAATTCTCTTTTGTCAGTTTATCGAGGTCTGTCATGTGTGGTAGAGCAGCCATTAAGATTCTGTAAGGATTACTGACCTGCAATATTTCATCTTGAAAAGCTGAATACAGTTGCTTCCTCCTGAAAGGCATTAAATAAACAAAGCCACAACCGATGTCTTCTGTTCACCTCACAACAAAATACTGTCTAATGAAGGTTCTTTCAGCAGCGCTGTCAATGTATTTTAAAATTTTATTTCAATAAAGCATCTTTACATAGGAGAAGTTAGTTGCAGGTCTTTGTTTTCCTTTACTAAAACTTGTAAAAACAGTTCATTAGAAACAGTTCTGTATATAGTGAAGTGGAAAGCCCTGAGGAGTACTGAGTTTCACTACGAAAAGGAAAAAAGGGGAAAAGTTTGTATGGTTAAGGACTCAGAAGGAAGAAAACCAGTATAAGATACTAATTTGTATGTTAAATTTAAGTATGTTTAAATATGTTACATTTTTTAGCCTTTGGTATTTCTTTTTGGTAATGGGACTTCCAGGAGCTCCACTGCACCGAGATAGAAATTATGGCTTCTCAAGAACTGTTTCCAAAGAGCCACTGGCTCTTTTTTACCATTTCCAGAATTTTAACCATTCCTAGAATTTACAATTTCTGGAAAATTCCCAGAAACCCCCCTGATTTCTTTTCATGTTCTAACTTCATTCATTTTTCTCCTGTATGTTTTTTAACTTTTAGAAGTTGCTTATATCATGACACAGATAAGTCAGTTATCTCAGCAGACTTTTCATTCTTTATTGTACTGCTTTATCTTTCCCTCCATTTTTACAAAGCCAATTGATTCCTGGTTGGCTTGACTTGGTCAACCACATTTAAAAATATAAGAAAATACCATATTCAATAAGCATGTAGAAGAGGGTAAGGTTATGAAACATATTTATTTCCTTTTGTCTTTATTTAAGTTGTTTATTGGCTTAATTAAGCCTTTTGATAAGCAGAGGTGAATTCTCCAACATTGTTTGAGGGAAAATATTTGGAAGGAGACAGTTTCAAGGTGTTGATTTGAACTTTTTGTTTAAAAAATGCTTAGGTTGCTCATCTATGACTTTCTTTTCCTCCCTACGTGCATGAGAGTAAAATTCCATAGAATTTATATGAGCAAAGTTTTTTCCTTCTCTGCCTCTAGAGAAGATATAATCCTTTAGACATTACAGAATGTCACTTGTAAGTATGGCTCAGTGTCATCTTGATCAGTCTCTTGATGCTGTACAGAAATTTCTGCTTTATCCATGGAGAATACCTGTTGATATCTCTATACATGTCTATTTATATATATATTTATATATATAAATGTGGTGGTTTTCCCTGCCCTCAAATTTTCATTGTCTTTCTGAGCTTTTGCCCCATGGAGCTGCAAGGTGTCTTAAAGTACATTTCTTTGTTATTATTTTGCTCACATAGTCATATGAACAAGTTGGATAATCTGAAATTGCTGTTGATCCCCCAGCTATCTCACTGCAGACAAAGAATTCCCTCTTTTCTATTTTCCTCAAAACAATGAAGGTGCTAACAAGAAAGGTATCTGCAGTTCAGAATTTAAAATATCTGTGAAATCATCTGAACAGTGCCTGATCAACAGGTGCTCAAACATTTGAGAGCCACTAGAGGCAACATTCTATGGATGAAGAAGTCATATTTATCTTCAGGGTCCAATAAAACATCAAGAAGGCAACGATGTCAGACATCATCTGTATTAGTGCTACTTGCATTATCCTGTTAGTATATAGACTATGAAATGTGGATACTAAGTACGAGGAATGGAAAGGAAAAGTAGATTTTAAATTATTGCAATGTCATGAAAACAGAAGTAAGTACTGCAAAACTTTGATGGAAGAGCTTTTTCTTCTCTTCTGGTGTCAAAAGGTAGTTATTGTTCTTCCTGTACATAGAAACACTCTGCTGAGTTGCCTTAGTCCCCTTAACTGACAAGGATTCATTGGAGAAAATACAGTATTAATATTTCCTTAATATTTGCCAACAGCAGTGGAAAATATTACCTAGTAAATGCCACACAAATAACTCAGCCTTGTGTAGAAGAAATACCTTCTTCAACCTGGGGATGTTTACTTCAAAAATAGCCATTCTGAATCATTTTCTACTGTTCTGCCTGCAGGACTAACAAGTCAGGTCAGATGTGTCCATGTTTTAGTCATATTGAAACTTTTCCTCTGCCTCTGGAATACACATTGATTTCTTAACTTAAAAAAAAAAAACCAAAAACAAAACCACAACCCCCCCCCCCCCCAAAAAAAAAAAAGCCAAAATACCCACACACAACCAAAAAACACAAACAAACCAACCAAATAACAAGCTGGCCTTAATTTAGTCCATCCTTTTATACCAGCTAGATAAACTAGTTGGTATAAACTGGATAATCTAGATAATTTACTATAACAATTCCATTCAGGATGTAGTAAAGCTTTCAGATGGCTGCTTAGCTCTCAGGAAAAATTAAGCTCTAACAGAAATGCTGGAGATCCAGATTAGCAAATGGCCTATTTTCATCCAGAATATGCACCTGGACCAGGTGGAAGTAAAATGAAATAAAAGGGATATGGCCAGTGTCCAACAGAAAATGGCTAACAGAGTGAGTGGTCAAGTGGTCACAGTCTTAGCAATATTCGTTGGAAAGACAAATTCACAGTGTTTAACATACTTGCCACTGGTAAATGAGTTAATGAAAAGCAAAATAAAATCAGGAAATTTATTTTCAAAATTATCAAGATAAAGAAAATTCTGAGCAAAGCAGCTCTTTTATTCTCTCATCATGAGTATACTGCCTCCCTCTCAAAGCCAGGAATAAGTAAAGTCCATTTATCTCTTTGACTAAAGACCAAAGTTGTAACTTGGTGTTACCTTTCCTGTACACATGACATCAGGTAAGAAAAAATCATACTCAGTGCATACCACTGAATTAAGGAAAAATTTAAACTGTAGGACCATTTTATTTCATGCAAACTATGTAATAAACACTTCTGGTTTTGATGTTTTATGTTGGTAAATAATTTATTTCTTTTTTGTGATATTTCTGCCAGTGATTAATGCTGATATCAATGTGCTTATGAATTTACCAACCTGTTTGTCTACAAGTCCCCCGGAAGATGACATCCCACATGCTCATATTTATGTTCTTCCTCTTGCAGTTTACTGGAGATTCCATCTCCTCAGAGTGCTAAAGACTGACTGTTGGGAGCATCCCAACAATAAAAGAGAAGCAGGCAGTGTGTTTGTTGCCATAATGAGATTGAAATTTCCTTCCCGGTAAGTGGACAGCTGAATGACTCAGCCATTTATCAGTTGAAGATAGAGGAATGGAGGTGCCTGGAGAAAATAAGTACTTATTATGGATGGCAGCTGGTATGACATGAATATGAATCATGGGGAAAGCAGTTAGTTTAGAAAGAGCCCAAAGGAGACTGGACAGCGTTACAGAAATACCAGAGGACAGGTGACTGCATTGAGTCTTAGAAATGTAGTTATGATTTCCAATAACTGGTCAAAAGTGATTTGTATCTTTAAAGTTCTTTTCCAAAAGGAGAATAAAGTTACAAACTCTACTTCACAGGAAAGATTTCTACCTAATTCATAGAATTTTTTTTTTTTTTTTTAAGAGTGCGAGAGACTTGCTCACCTCCTTTATTCAGAGAATTAAATTAACACTCCTTTGGTTGACATCTCAGTTGAAATCTTTGGTAATCAATAAAGGAGTTGTATTCATTCCAGTAATGAATAAAGTCATGTTAGAGATAACAAATGAAGGAACAGTACATGTTGTTGTTGGATATAAGAACCAAACACCAGCTTTATCTTCTGTGAGAAGACTGGAGGTAATTTTTAATGCCCTTATGCTAGCATTGTACAAAAGGGGAAAAAGACAAAGAAGAGTCTTCTCACAAATATTCTAATTTTTGACTTTGAGTTCTTCGGTAGAAGAAGTAATTGGGCTTACCTGAAAACCACAATAGAAACAGATATATTAAGAGATAGCCAAGAGGATTGTAAATTTTTTCTTCTGGTTTATTTTTGGTGATAATCTAATTTCTCTGAGGGTGTTCATGTAAGAATCTTGTTTCCCAGCTTATGTCTTTTGGTCAGTGTTTGCAATCCCTTTGTATAACCTTTTCAAAATTTTGTACAAATTCTGTAAAATTTTTTTCTTCGTATTCTTCGCACTCTTTGCATTTTTCTGATTTTGTGGAAGTCAACTGGAAAAAAAAAAAAAGCAATAGTAAAGCAAAATACCGATCCATTCATTCTGATACAGAGTTTGGTTTTTTGTGCTGTTTTGAGGAATAATTCCACTGCAGGTAATGGCTATGGAAAATATTCGTGGAGGTTTCCATGGTAGTTATGGTCTGTGCAGTTCCTGGCTTACTTTTTGAATAGAATTGTCTTGGAGAGGTACATCACTTCAGTGAAAGATGCAAATTATTGTCCCTCTGAAAATTAGGATACTTTTCTGCATGTGTCTAACATATCTGACTGCAGGTACTGAAGCTGCAAACTGTCATTTATACACACACATTCAAACACCCTAACATATGTAAGCATGCACAAAAGTATTTGCTTTGATGGGAATCCTGAAAGTGTTTTTCTAAAAACCACTGATTTTTCATTATTACAAGTACAGGTTACTGGAATTAGTTTTCATCTCTACCATTCCACCATTTATGTAACAAAAGAGGTATTTCTGCTACTGAAGAAACATTTTTGATTTATCTTTTTTCCTCACACTGTTGGTGTTGCTTACCTTATTTTTTTCAAAGCTTTCATTTCCATTTTTCCATATATTCCACACATCCTGTGTTTGACTACAATTTTTGATACGACATTCTTGAATTATCACTTCTGTCTCTAAGAAAAAGCATCTCATTACAAGTTCTTGGCATTCTTCCTGAAAAATTGCAGTTGCAATAGTTTTATTATAAAGAGGAATAAGCAAATGTAGGACATAATTTGTGATATAATTTAAACACAATTATGATATAAGTGAGATGTAATCTAAGATAAAATCAGCCACAAAGAGGTTGATTTTTAATTGCTGGGCATATTTTCTTACTATTCAAATACATTTAAATATCTGCAGAGATGGGCTGTGAGAGCTAAGAACAAAAAGACCAAGCAGTTTGCTAAGACAGGGTGAAACATAGTGTCTTAGTGAGGAAGACAGGAAAATAATTAGGAGAGAAACCTGGCATATAACTAAAGATAGTGGAATTAGTTTATTATTATTATTTGTACTTTTAGCACTTCAAGTCAGAGATCTAAATTCAGAATGGGTAAGAGAGTAGAGGAAGCAGATAATGCTCCCTTAAATGAAAAATTAATCCCAGAATTATTTTGGCATTGTTTGCTTTGATAAAATGATTTTGAATCACACAATCACAGAATAGTTTGGGTTGGAAGGGACATTAAAGATCCTGTACTTCCAACCTCTCTGCTATGAACAGGGACTCCTTTCTGTAGGCCAGGATGCTCAAAGCTCCACCTAACTTGGCCTTGATCATCCCTTTCAATTGATTAATTTTATTAGCAGATGACTAAATAAGAACAATTAATTGCATAATTTAGCATAAGCACTTTGATTAGAAGAACTATTTATTCCAAGGCAAATTATTTTATTTTAGACGTGTTTATCAAATTAGAACAAGTCTACTTTAGGGGATAATTTCTAGTAAGGCCATGAAGCCACCACATTAAACATTAGTTGTGGTCATATGTGAAGTTTACTTACATCCTCATCGGCATTTGCAGTGTATAAACTGACATCAATATCCTACAAGAAAACAAGAGTTGGAATTACAAACATTAGCTAACAAACACCATCCCTCTCTGTCTCACTAACACTTCTTAGCTGAGTGCAGTGCTAAATATTTTCTTAAGTCTTCTTCTATGATTATACGGAATGCTGACTGTTTTATGAACTTACTTTGGATGTCTTGATCCTTTCCAAATCTTTCAGAACTTCTGCCCATTTGCAATGACCTGCTTCTGTCTTTGGTACATAAGCACTAGAACAGAAGAAAAGTAGTGACCATTAGGCTAAACAGAAGGTATCTACAACGTTTATGCTGAAAAAAACCACTCAGCATTGTAAGATATTACAGATACATTATTTACATGTAAATACATATGGTGTATGTTTGGGGCAAGCAAGCACATTTGACAAATCATAAAATCACATAGATACACAAAAACTGTTTCTCATGTCTCACACAGTATAAACAATATGGGTTTTTTAGAAGGCCATATTTATAGAACATAACTCAAGAGAAAGGTTTGATTACCTGATGTTAAATACCTAAAATTCTTGTAGTGTAAAAAATAAAGTGTAAAAATAAAATTCCAAATACACTCTCTGAAGTGACTGAAGACAAATGATAGTTGTGACAGTAAAAATAAATAATTTGTAGTTACTGTCTGATTGACATTAACTTTGTCATTACCATAGGAAGAAGATGATTAGTCCCATCCCATTCTTTAAAAGGCAAAAGCAATGGCTGTTCAGAAGCAGATACTGCAGACAAATACTTTTCAGGTGTGGTTTCTGAAAGACACAACCAAGGTGATACCTCATCATAATTTAATTCCACAGAATTTTGCTTTAGTACTGACTTAATTAACCAATTTTCCAAGACTTCCAATAAAGACAAGACCTTGTTGCATGTAGCTGGAAAGACCAACTGATTTGTAGCTTGGAGAAATACAAAATCACTTTACCAAACAGCTGATAGAAAATCAGATGCTGAAGGCACACTGTGAAAACCTGAACTCATCATGGGCTCCCTATTTATTTATCAATTCATATTGCAGGCTGCAATTTAATGCAGGGCCTATACTAAAGAACTTTGGTTTTCCACCTCTCCCCTGGCTATCATTTGTTACCCAAATTCAATTTATTACCTACAACTTTAACTCCAATACTATGGTTGCATAGTATTGCAACCATATGCATCAAATATTATAGTTATGTGTACAAATTTTAAATAAAATATTTAGATATAGTACATACTTACATCTCTTCACACAGTGTATGTGTGTCTAATATTGGTCAGTAATGCATTTAAGAATTTCCTCAGTGGAGTTTGGCGACTGAAAATAAGGAGAAGCTGTGAGAAGCTGTGCATTATCCATCAGGAAACATTTCTCTGTTGTCATGGTTTGACACGGAAAAAGAATTTTTCCAGAAGGAAGAGGTCAATTTGGACATTGACCAATTGAAGGTAGACACGCCTCTGAGAACACAGAGGGGTTAAAAGCAGAATTCCCAGGAGAACTCGCTCTCTTGGGTTCCGGTCAGCGGTCAGTGCAGCCTCTCCCCTGCCCGGCGATGAGCTGGGTGGGGGACGGGAAAAGCCATGTGGCCCTCGGAGGTAGGCCGAAGGGTGGAGGGACTGGAACCAGGCCTGGCCCCTTGCAGATGGAAGGGTGGAGAAATCTGGGATATCTCCATTTCCCCCAGAGTCTCTCTCTCTCTCCCCCAAGAGAGAAAAAGAGACGGCGGTGGTTTTGCCAGCAGTTCACCACGGGAAGGAGAAGAGTGGGAGAGCCGCAAGGTGCCCAGCCGGGCTGTGGGAGCTGGAGCCTGGGCAGCGAGCCATCTCTGGGAGTCAGGACTTTTAACCTTTCTTTGAGAAAACGAAAGCTTTGTGAATTTTTTCTCCTCCTCGGTTTGAAAGAGAGGAAGAGAGACAGCTTGGACCCTGGGATGTTAGAAGGAGAAATTCTAGGTGGGAGGAGATGATGGAGTGGCTTTTGGCTGGACTTTTTCTTGGTAGCCACAGACTGAGCCGATCTTCTCCTCCAAGAGAGACTGTATTTTAGGAGGATGCCGGTGAGCCAAAGAGACCTGCTTCAGCTGGGAAAAGGCAGAAGTGGAGTGAACAGAGAAAAGTTAAAGAGGTTTGTGGTGGTGCCCCCTGTCTTCGCAGAGGAAGAAGAGAAGAAGATCTCTGTTCTTGGATCCTCGGCCCCAGGGGAAAATGGGGGGGACTGTTGGTCCCAAAAATGAAAAACTGAACTGTTGTTTTTTCCCCTCTTGGCAGGGCATCCTTGGAAAAAAAGAAAATCCTAAAAAGCAGTCTGTCCATCCATGCATTGGTGGTGAGAGCACTGTGCATGGAAAGGAGAAGGTCACCATTGGCAAACTTTTTTTTTTTCTCCAGGCGGTGCCATGTGGTGACATGGAAGCACAGGATGTGGCAGCTGTGTTTCTTGGGGGGTCTGTGGCACAGGAGAGACTCCTCTCTCCCTGCAGATGGACTGGGTGTTGATTATCTGGAGGGTGGAAACCTGATTGGGGTCCAGATTGTGTCTCACTGTGGTTTGTTGGAGTTGGGTGGTGGGAGGAGGAATGCTTTGGAAGGTTTTCATTTTGAATTCTGTATGTTTCTTTCTTCTTTTTTTCTCTTTTATAGTAGCATAGTGGTAGTAGCTTAACTTAATAAAGTTTTTTCTTGTTATTAGGCTTGGGCCTGCTTTGCTCTGTTCTCGATCGCATTTCACAGCATTCAGTTGAGAGATTGCATTTTCATGGGGGGCTCTGGCATTGTGCCAGTGTCAAACCATGACACCTGTGCAGAGCCTGGTAACCTTTGTTCCAAAGTCACAAGCCCTTTGATTCAGCTGATAAAGTTCCCTCACAGGCTTAGGTTAATTACCTGCTGCACCGCAGTGGTTTTGACCCAAGGTTTTATTCCTGATCCAACATGAAATACTCTATAGCTGATCCAAATTACATTTCTTTACCTGAAAACTTGTGAGTCAATATTTAAAAATGGACCACAGAACATAACAAAAGAAGAGCTGTGCAGTGGTAAAAATATCCAAATGGGAGGTCAGTCCATGCAGTATCAGGATTGCAACTCGCTGAAAACCACCTTAATAAAGCAGAGCCAGGAGAGCAATGATCACATGTGTGACAGGACTTCTGGAAAGTATTTGTAATAAATATTTGCTACTCTCTTAAATAGAAAATGCTTTAAATAATTTGCAATTATTTTGTTTCCAATCCCCAAAGATATAGCTGAAATAGCATAGCTACCTAATCCTACATAAATTTCCACATTCAATAATGGGACTCAGTGTCAGTCCCTTTTATCCCATTTGCTTGTCCAAAACCTGTTAAACGAAAGTTATGTAAATGAATGATACTCTGACAATCTAAATTGCAGTAAGGACAGAGCAGGTAACATCTTCTACATCTTCTGAACAATTTCCATATGGAGAATGCTGTATTGTGGTCAGCCAAAGTAGGTCTATAAGCAGGGCTAAACCTGTCACTGCTTCCACAACAAATGGAAATTGAAAATATGAGTACTGAACCCAAAATGTTAAGTATTTATACATGTATCTTTTTCAAATGTACAGAATAAAAAAGGAAAAGTATTATTAACTGCATTGATATGGTCAAAAGAGCTAAATCACTTTGCTGTGGTATGACAGAAAGGTTTTATCCTTTTCACAGTTAACAGATTTGAAATTGCCATGTTATTTCTTTTGGGTTTGGATTTAGTTCGGTTTTTTTTGTTAAATCTGCATACTAACTTCTTTCATTTGATATGCGAATCCTTAGAAAATATCCTATTTTAGTTGGATTTGGGGTATTTTTTATTAATATATAAGTGAAGTCAGAAGTAGCCTTATGGGGAAACTCCAAGTGTATTTAAAGGAATTTTAAACCTGATTAGTGGATACAGGTGAAGAAAACATGTTTTAACCCCAAGTTTTAAGCAAATAATTCAAAGTAGACTAGAAATATTCTACAGTAGCTAAACATTTTTATCATTCTACAAGCTAGTTTTTATGGAATGAGATGAGGTGGCAACAAATTAAAAGATGAAGGACTTATGATGGGTCCATAAGCACAAACCAGCTATGTAATTTATAATTAGTGTTATGGGGCCTTTAAAAATCTGCTTGAGAGGGAGTCCCAGTCCAAATTAATTGTCAAATTTATGCCACAGAACAAAGTTTTCATGGTGAGGAAATAATATATTATGATATCTAGTGAATAATGGACTAGGATTATCATTAGTTTGTCTTTTTTCCTATTTTTTGTCATTTTTGTCTTTTTTGTTTGTCATTTTCCTATTTTTCCTTTTTTTTTTTTTGTCATAGTTTCCTATTTTAAATAATTGTTCATTGTAATGACACTAACACTGTGTTCTTAATGATTGAATGTCTGCATCTTTGGTTTTTTTAAATATTGTTGGTAACCTTTATTGTAATAGCATTATAATCCCTAGCATAAAATAAATGCTTAGTTTTTAGAAGTAATAGAAAACTTGTACTAATGATAAATATGTGAAAAATATACTACATGCAAACTCTAAAGGGTACTCCATTTGTTCATAAAGAGATTTCAATGTCAGCTACATCCCCCAACACACTCCTTGGCAGGCCCAATGCAGGGCCATTTTCTACTTGAATTTCTTAATTCTTTCATTCAAACTATTATTCAACAACAGAAGCATTTCTAGTTGGCTCATAAGCTTTTAAAAATCATTCTCCTGCCTTGAACACATAATGCTGTAATGTAAAAATTTTCTTTGGATAATGTCTGGTTTTGATGTCTTACTCTGTGTAATAATTAATTAATTACCCTCTGTCTTCATTACATCTCTGGTATTTACCCTTGTGAACACTGGATAAAAGAGCAGCTCATGTTTACAGACATAAATATTTTTTTCTATAGCTTGTGTCCTGATTACTTGCTACTCTAAAGATTAAAGCCTTTGGAAGTGAATATATGCTCTTCCAAAAATCAATTATGATATACATAATAATTTTTGGGAAAGACTGCTGTTTTTTAATAATGAATTTAAATTAAGCATTTTAAGAGCAGTTACCTCTGAGTGATAGCTAAGGTACAGTAGTATTGTTTTCTCTTTAAAGAAACAAATCTGCAAGGAAATGAAAAAACCTTTCTTTAACAAAGCAGAAACAGCCAATGACTGCTGGTTTGGCTGTCACAGAAACAATGGTCTAAGATACTCAAAAGAAAATATTGGTGGCTTTTGACAGTATTTAAGTTACATGTGGTGGAAAATACAGACAGTTAAAATTACATGTTTCTGCCTAAATACAATATATCTAAACCTTTTTAATAATATTTGCTTATAAATGTCTCCTTAAATCCTTGAGATAAGGTATTCATAAATAAGAAAGTTTATTTCCCAGCTATGCCATTTAGTGCTATTGGCAAAGGTCTTCACTTTTTTTTTCCTTATTTTGAACTGTATTTTTATTCTTTATTTATATCTTTATTCCTCATCTGCTTCCTTGTTCTTGAAAACAAGTGACCGGAAGCATACAATGTACTCAGATCTTATGAGGGATTTAGAAACTGGTGATAATATTTTCAGTTTCTGTGGGAAAAAAAGGGAACTATTGCCAGTGTTTTTTTCACAACTGTATCACACTGGTGGCTCAGACCTCTATATGCTTCCCTGCCAGAAATTTATATCCACTTCTTTCAAAATCCTGGAATCTCCTGAGAATCTTTCACCATTTGTTGAAAATTCTCACCCCATAAAAAACCCCAGA